GAAATCATGTTAAAAGATGTTAATGATTGAAGGAAACGAGTTAAAATTGACTTAAAATCGATTTGGAAGAAGAGTTATTCTTGAAAAATCGCCCTAAGGAGTTTGTGTTTTGAAAAGATGTGAAAAATGGCTGATATTCGGCTAAGTATAAAAGTTGCAGGTCGCAGGTATGAGAAATGCGAATAGGGTTTGAAATTACGAACCCCGACCACTGCTAAGTTGGGAATTGCAAACAGCCTCTCGCAAATGCGAGTTGGGAATTGCGAAGGTAGGGTCGCATTTGCGACTGCTGGCTAGGAAGGGAGGAATCGCATTTGCGATGGCATTCTCGCAATTGCGAGGATGGGCTGGCCTGGGCTTCTTTTGCATTTGTGACATGCCTCTCGCAATTGCGATCTCGCATTTGCGAGCCAAGCTTTGTAAATGCGAAGCCTGCACGCCTGCAATGCAACAGCTAAAAATCTGCAATTCCTCAAGTCCAAAATCCACCTCGTGGCCTATCCAAAACTCACCCGATCCCTCGTGTCTCTAAACCTAACATGCACACCACCTTAAAAACATCATGCGGACTCTCTCGTGCATTCAAATCACTAAAATAACATCAACAACTAGGAATTTAGCATGAAAATCATGAAATTCTTTTTAAGAACTTCACATTTCTAATTTTCTCAAAAATGATCTGATTCACGTAGTTTCAAGTCCATTTCTTACAAAATTTCACAGACTTATCTTAAATCACATATAAGACTTGTACCGGACACCGGAACCAAAATACGGGTCCGATACTATCAAGTTTTAATCACAATTCATTTCTAAAACTCATAAACAATTTTAGAAAATAATTTTCTTTAAAACTTTATTTCTCGGGCTTGGGACCTCAGAATTTGATTCTGGGCATACGCCCTAGTCCCATATTTTCCTACGAATCCTCCGGGACCGTCAAATTACGGGTTCGGGTTCGTTTTCCCAAAATATTGACCGAAGTCAAATTAATTTATTTTATAGTTAAAATTTATCATTTTTCACAGATTTTCACAAAATGGCTTTTTGGGTCATCACAATATATTCTAGTTGAAGCTTATATATTTTACTTGAGAAGTATAATCATCTATTCTTCATATATTTATGCTTTATTACATGATCTTACATGTTAAAGTTTCAAGAGTTAGATAGAATTGTTAGACATACATTGAGTAATTTTATTTCATGCTTATGCTATGCATAACCTCAAGTATATTATTATGAATATTGATAGAGCACTTTCAAACAAGATTTAGACTTTAAAAGTCACAAGAAGAAGTTTTAAAAAGATAAGATTTTTTGGAGTATCCTTTATTCTGAGAAGGGGTCATTGTCCAGGCCGAGGGTCCTGACCTAGGCGTTGACTTTCTGAAACTACTTATGCCAAAGTAGGGAGCACACAAGCCGAGGGTCTCGTTGCTGAGAATTTACTTAGCCTTGCTAAGGTATGATACATGAGCGCTGAGAACCATGAAGCGAGTGGCACCTCGTGGATTGGGCCTATTCGATCAGGTTGGGATCAAACTCGTGTCGATCACACGGTGACTGAGATAGAATTAAATCAGGATAGTTGGAACTCCCAAAGTATAAAGTGAAGTATTATTTTTTTTATAAGAAAGAAAAAGAAAAGAATTTCTTTTAGAATATTCATAAACTGTTAGTATGCAATTATTTTAGAATTATTCTTATAAGCTTTATGTTTTACGTGCATTTAGAACCTTTGCTCGTAATGTATATATTACTAAAGTTTCGCCCCCTGTTGTTGAGACTCACTGAGTACAATGGATGGTACTGACGTTCTCTTTTGGGAACCTACGTTGGTCTGCGGTACAACGTAGGAACCGGTTTTGCAGGCGAGCAGGCTACAAGCTAGGACTTCCTACTCTTTCAGTTCTATTGGTGAGCTCCACTTTTGTTCGTGGAGTATTCCTTGGAGCCATCTTTATTTAGTTATTTCTTTGTTTACTTAGAGAACTGGTCAGGAAATCTCATGTCCTGAGCAGTGCGTCAGTTTATCAGGTAGAGGCTTCATAGACATAGTCATTGGGTTAAGATTCGGATGTTTTTGATAATAACTTAGCATTAATTCAGTAGTTACTATGAATAAAGTTTTGGAGTTCATTTATTTAAATATATAAATTAATCAAAAGTATTTGGTTAGAGTGTTGCCTTGTTGCATATAAAGTTTGGAGTTATAATAGATTTGATAAGCAGAGATGGTTCGCTCTGTCATGTTTAGTGATCGAGTGCCGATCCCAGCTTGTTCAGAAAATGGGTCGTGACAATCTCATCTAAATTGAAACGGAGGGAGTATATAATAATTCAACCACACATATGCTGCTCAAATTTCCAACATCACAAGCAACTGCATTATTCGCGTAAAATGGTTTGATTCATTAGCATGTCTCAAGATTAAACTCTAAGGACCCGTTTTGCCTTAGATTTTGCCAAAATAAACTTGAGTTTTATTTGGCAAATATATGTTTGGCCATAAATTTTGCCTATATTTTGGCAAAATCCAAAATCCTAATTCCCAACTCCCAAAACCAGCTCAATTTGGGCCAAAATCTTTACAAACATTAATAATATACATGTTTTTTCAAAATAAATTTAGGAAATATGTTTTAAAAACGTATGTCCAAACACATTTTCATCTTCAAACCAAACTTCACTCAAATCAGATTTTTCAAAAATAAATTTGGTAATCTATGGCCAAACGCTAGCTAAAATTTTACGGGATTTACGTTGTACACCTTCACAGTTCTCCAAAACAAATAAAAAATAAAAAATAAAAAAGAACTCACGTGCCCAGTTCAGAACCTAAATGGGGACGTAATACTTAACAAATTTTTTCTAGGGCGTTACAGGCATGACCTAAAGTTTAATGCTTAACAAATTAAACTTTCGTATACCCGAAGGCTTAATTAAAGTAAAGTATCGCTTCACAAACAATAATAAATAATATTATATTTTTAAGTGAGTTTACATCTTAAATCACATAATGCGGTTCTAAGTACATAATTAATTCCATTTTGTCCTCGTATATTATATAAAAAATGTTATTAATGACTTGGTTCGGATTATATATTAGATGATTTTTATTTAAGGAATTGATTATTAACTTCGTACGGTATACATATTCAGTAGTGTAAGCAATTGAAAGTTTATTATTTTCAATACACGAACGTTGAGACTAGTTGTTCAAAATGGAAGAGGTAGTTTGATTTTTAAGACAAAATTTAGGAGTGTAAATGATTTTTACCCTATAATTGTCACGACCCAAAATCCCTCCGAATGAGTCGTGATGGTACCTAGTCTCTAAACTAGGTAAGCCTAATATTAACTGAATTAGCATTGCCATTTACTAATTTTGAATAAAATAACTGAATTAACATTGCCATTTTACTATTCACGCATTAGACATTTTACTTACGAGACTTCTCCAGTTCACAATAAATAATTGCATAAGAAAACTTCAAAATTTGCATAAGTATAACATATGTCATGTAGCAGTATAATTAAGTCATAACGAAGGATTGCACATATTTGAATTATAAAGTATACTGCACATGCCATGGCAGTAATTTAAATTATGTGACAACGAAAGGAAACCACTTATTAATCAAGAGACTAGACAATTTTAGAATTCTGATTATGAAGAGAGACGCTGACAAAGTTCCGTTTTTTCCCTGTAGAATACCATATATTTTGGTTGTGGCTGAGCACTATATTAAATTCCATTTGATGAATTTCTCTCCATTGCCCCTTAGATTACTGACATCTGTCACCAATTAGACTTAATGGACAAGATTTCTTCTCTCATTTAATCCCACAAAACCAAGATGTACTAAGTACAACATAGTAAGAATTATTTGGTTTAAAGAAGATAAAATCCTTCAGTCACACCAAAACTCGGAAGAACAATTGTTTTGACAATTAATGAACATGTTATGTCCTAGAATTAATGTAGGATTCGGTAATAATTTTTTCATTATTTATTTTAGTTTAATCAGGCATTGAATCTTGTAAATATACAGATAAGACTATTCACAATAAATTGATCATATATAATTTTTTTGAAAATTTCATTAAAGCATATCACATGTTCTGTAGAGGTAATTCTTCGATTCACAATAAATGAATGCCTAAAAGAGTATGTCACATGTCATGTAGGACAATTTGTGATTTCTAATCATCTTTTAATGGAAAGGTCATCAATTATTGCTCAAGAGTGAAATAGTTTTGAATGACGATACGAAGAGGGTGATCAATGTTATACTATAGGAGTTCCTTTTAAAGAATTATTTGATAGAAATGATGATATATTAACATAAAATTGTTATATATAGCATTGCATATGATAGGGTGGTCCTTCTTGTATATATATAGTGCCATTTAAACATTCTTAGTAATATAGTAGCATTGCATAGGGTGACCCTTTTATAACATTTTGAGGTGACACGTACTAAAACGTTAATTTTCTTCTGATTATTTACTTCGTTAGTATATGTGGATCTCACTAATAAGTTAAGATTTGTAGTTCTTCAATTCCATGAAAAAATAAGTACTAAATTAAATGAGAATCGATACGTTCCTTTGGATAAATAACTAAAGATTCAGCCAAATGCATCATTCAATCATTTTGGAACGTGGGGCAACACATAATATTAGGTCAATATTACGAAATATATGCATAAAATATCTAATTTGGCAGAAAGACTATGGATTCACGCGTATTGTATGTAAAAACAGCCTAAATCCGCCCTTGATTTCCAGTAATGTATAATTGTACAAGCACCTTGAATTTAATCTGCCACTGCTCTTTGTACCACACCTTTAAGCATAATATGAATAAAACATTTTTTGAAAAAGAAAAAAAAAAAACTAGCAGTTTACAGAAGGAAGGATATACTATATGTTTGTTTATAAATAGAGCTGAAGTCTTACCAGCTCATTCACCTCTACTCCTACACAATCTACTCATAAGCAGTGTTTGCTTTCTGCTTCTAAAATCTCCTGTCTTTCCCTTATTAATCTCAGCCCTTTTAAGAAGAAGAAGATTCTTGATAAAACATCAATATTCAATCCCTTTTTGCAAGATGTCAACCTTTCTGTTGGCCTTGTTATCTTTAGCAATATTGTCTACAACTATTCTTAGCGCCGATGATAATCAATACATAAATATTACAATACTGAATAGCGCGATTGCACAAGGCGCAGGTAAAATACTTGGCTGCAGATCAATACATTCTTCCTTAAGTTAAGTTATACGTAGTTCATAAAAATTACGTAAAAGATAATCACATGCATGCAGACTAATTATTTATTTTGTGTTTGAGCCATGCAGTATGCCTAGATGGAAGTCCACCAGCTTATCATCTGGATAGGGGATATGGTAGCGGACTTCGCAGCTGGATTATTGTCATGGATGTTAGTTACAGTAATTAATTACTACTATTTACTTTTTGTCTTTAACATAGTTAAGTCACCAGATTAAACCATTAAATATTCTGCTTTAATTTGCTTGCTTACATTACACTGGAAAATTTGGTACTTTTAGGGAGGCGCTTGGTGTCAAAGTATATCAGATTGCCTTAGTCGTTCAACTACCGAATTAGGTTCTTCTAAGCAGATGAAGAATGGATCTCGGTTTGCTGGGATACTTTATAATAATCCCCAAAATAATCCAGGTTAATTAAGCTTAGTACTATTTTCTATTACTTTGTTTCTTTTCTCTTTATATGCATAAATTTTTACACACTTCTTCTAACGTTAAGAAAAATTGGAACGGTAGACTTTTACAACTGGAATAGGGTGAGGGTGAAGTATTGTGATGGTTCATCCTTCACAGGTGATATCGAACAAGTTGACCCTGTAAGTAATATTATGTCATATATATTGATAAACATCGCTACATAATTTGGTGATTAATATATCCCGTAACATTTCTACATTAATTAGGACAACAAGCTGTTTTTTAGAGGGGCAAGAATATTTAAGGCTATTATGAAAGATTTATGGAGCAAAGGCATGCAAAATGCTGAAAATGTAAGAATATCAATTACTCTCTGGCTTCATAATATTCATAGTTACAAGTCACTTACTACCTGATTATACCTTTCTCTTCTACTTTTTTTAATTCTGATTTCTAACTAGCTAATTCTTAAAAAACAAAAAATGCAATGTTAGGCAATTCTGAGTGGAGTTTCAGCAGGAGGGTTGGCTACAATTTTGAACTGCGACAAGTTCAAATCCCTCATGCCAAATGATGCAAAAGTTAAGTGTGTCGCAGATGCAGGCTTTTTCATTAATGGGTGAGCTTTTCTTTCTATATATGCATAAATCACTTAAGAAATAAAAGTATCGATTACGTACTATTGATTTATTAATTATGTCTAATTTATGTTTATGCCATTGGAACTAACTCAAGCCTTTCGTGACATATACATACAGCAAGACAATCTCTGGTACTTCAGATATTCAAGAGATGTATCAGAGAGTTGTGACATTACATGTAAATTCCATCATCTTCTTTGTTTTAGTACGATCGTATAATATATACTTAACAAGTAAGTGCAAGTTAGATTCTTTTTCTATAATATTTTTTTTTCTCTTGTTGAAGGGATCGGCTAAGAATTTGCCTCCATCTTGCACATATGCAATGGAACCAAGTCTGGTAATTAAGAGTTTAAGTTTTTTGGAAACAAAAACCTTTTTCTTGTGGCATATATATAAATATTGTTATCTAACATTAGTTTTCCTTAATAATGGTGCAGTGCTTTTTCCCTCAGAATGTTGTTCCATATGTCGAGACTCCATTATTTATAATGAATTCACACTATGACACTTGGCAGGTCAAGAAGACAAATATTAATTTCTCTCGTTTTAAAAATTTCCTTAGTTTTATTCTTTAGTTTCAATTAAATATAAAAGAAATTCATTCTAATGATTCAAATTACTCTAACTCTAACTCCAGATTGAAAATATTTTGGTTCCTAAATACCTCGATCCTCAACATGTCTGGGACAATTGCAAGAAACAAATAAGCAACTGCACATTTAGCCAACGTTTAATTATTCAAGGTTAGTTAGCACTACTTCTCTGGCGATTAACTAATTAATGCATACCTTCCTATCACATATGTATAAATGGCTCTTCTTCTCCTCTAATTCTTTTTAATTTGTTTCATTTTTAAATATAGTTTTTGGAGGGGAATTTTTGAAGGCATTTGAGGGACTCAACCCTTCTTTTACGAGCGGTTATTTCATCACATCTTGCCATTCTCATGGTGCAATTATGTCGACGAATTTCTGGTTGAGTCCTACCTCTCCAAGATTACTTCATAAGGTAATTTTTTTTTTTGTTTTATCCATATAAATAAAATCTGAATACTTTTATGTTTTGAATTTTATCATTCGCGCCCTATCATTGTTAGTAGTTGTAATATTTATGGTTTTATCTGTGTAGACAATTGGTGAAGCTGTTGCGGATTGGTTTTTTGAGAGAGCAGGGTTTCAATATATAGACCTATTTCCTTGTGCTCGAGATTGTGAGATATAATTAAGTCAGTGAACTTCTGTAACTAATAGGCTTACAGATGTTGTACTTGCTGCTCATTTGGTGATTCGTAGCGGTTGAGGAGGAGTTTATTAAAGTTAGCTTTGTGTTTTACAATTAAATCCTATTATTCAGTAACAGTTTGTTTGGATGGTTGTTACCCATTGTATTGTATCGTATTGTTACTTTAAATAACAAATTTTCATTTTGATTGTTACTTAAATTTTATTGTATCGTACTATCGTATCGTTAAATTCGTCGTTACATAACGACGAAATGTGTCACTTTATGTAACGACCGATTTGGTGTGGTCGCGCCGTTACCTTGTCTTTTTCTCTCAATCTCACCTTCTATTATTATTAAATTATTTTATTTTATCATTTATCCTACCTTTTTAAAATAGTAATTTTACGTTGTATCATAATTTTTCTTTATAATATTACAAGTTTATTCTTCATATTGCTGGTGCGTGATATCATAAAACGATGACAAACGACACAATCTATCCAAACATTGTATTTATCAAATAATACAATACAGTACAATACGATACATTATGAAACGACACATAACAACCATCCAAACAAGCTGTAAAAGTTTCTAATTGTTCAGCTTATCACAGACAGTGCGCAACCTACTACTCTTTACGCATATTTTGTTAACATGAGTAGTTAACTTCTTGATATTAAATATACTAGTTAGGGTATGCCCGTACACTGCACGAGCCCAACATGATAGATCTCTTTTTAATTGAAAAACAACATAGTAACATTGTTCTTATAAATAAGATTTTGCAAAATTTAATTGAGAAAAATCTAAATTCAACATCAGAAAACCTAGTGACAAAGAAAATATCATTAAATAATAGTAATGCTTTCTATTTTGTGAAACGCACACTTAATTATTTCACACTATTATCACCTAGTGACTCACATATTGACTTCTAAGGTAACCTTTATTCTTTTCAGTTACAAATTTTTGATAGATATAATCGCATATGTTACTGTTTGAGTAATCACGCAAGAACTATTGAGCAAGATACAATATGTTGCACATTCAGCTAACATGGACGAATAGTTCGTGTGTCAAAATAAAGTTGAATCTCTTTATTTAAGATTACTAAAACTAAACAGATTGAGTATGACTATTCATTCAAAAGAGTAACATCTTATTAGGCCGCACGGATTGGCTCCAATATTGCTACAAATCTACTTTAACTTCAGCTGAAGTAAAAAGCTTATCATCAGCAATCAACTAAGAGAACAATATCAAATTATTATTTTAGCACAATCACTGATCATGCATTTACACATTAAAATGGACTTTACAGCATAAGATATTAGTCCACAAACAATCAATCTGATAAAACATTGAAGTAATCAGAGTTCATGAACCAAAATGTGGCTTCCAAAGGTTTCTCCTTTTCATATATCAAATATGAGTAATAAGGAACTGAAGCTTCTCTTTGCGGTACCTTTTCTGGTATTGCTCTTGACTGCCTTTTTTAGGACTACTATCTACTGTAAACAAGTAAAGAGAATGGGAATCAATACATGATTTTTCTAAGCTCGTTCCTAAGGAACTTAGACTTGAAACTTTATCATATTTCAAGAAACCTCTAAGTACTAAGGGCAATCTTTTAACTTGGGGCTTTAGAGCACCCATTTGCTGATACAGAACGACAGTAAAATTAGTAAAAGCGAATACTTAAAATTCCTTGGGACACTGCTCACTCTATCTCTGCACTTGAAGTATAAATTCAATCGGCTTGTGACATGCTAATATGTAAAGGATTGAAAATTGTAATATCAACCTATTGAAGAGGATTTAGGCAAAACCAATTAAACAATTAAGTAACAGAACATCAAGAGAGCTATGAGAATGGGAGTGTAGTTTTCTCTTCAGATAATTTCTAATAAACTGAATATATCAGGAACAAACACAAAAACAAAGTTAAGATCCATTTTCATTCACAAGTTCAGTGGATTAAGTTACAGAATAGACAAAACTGTGAAGGGGAAGAGGTGTAAGTCGTTACCATACATATATGAACCCAAAACGAATTTCTTTTTCGGTAGCAAAAGATCCTAAAAAGGTAGATACTTCCTGCGGTTGGCAAGCATAAATAGGAGTAAAAAGAAGATAATTTTGTGAGAAAGAAGCAATTCTAAGCTGCATTATATTATAATTATATCAATTAAGAATCCAGAGGAAAGAAGAAAATCTCACGCATAAATACATAATAGGACTCACCTTTTATATCTTTTTTATAGTGTTGGTGGTTCTAGTTTCAGCCCTGCGCTTGAAGATTCAGATATCACATTTGTTCTTTCCATTTCGACCTCATTTGTTCCTAGAGCCTTGACTTACTTTTTGCTTCTCTCGCCAATATTTGGTGCAAAGATCTGATCCTTTTCTATGTAGGATAACACGGATAGACTTGTATGCACATTGTCAGAACTTTTCAAGAATGATTATCTAAATTGAATTCGGAAGATTATGTCCG